AACTGGGCGGCGTTTGCTCGCAACCCACCATGCCCACCAACGCCGTCTTTGAGCTGCAACAGCCGGAACATCTCCACCAAATCTTCTGAGAGGTAGACAGTGTTGATCACAGGGCTGCTGGGCACGCAGCCAACCTGGAACGGGTGCGCTGTGACGTTCTTCTCGCCGTGCAAAGCGCACTCAAAAATGGGCACCACGAGGGAGCCCGCCACGCCGCCAAGGCCGTGATACACTGCCGGCATGGTTCCAGTCTTCCTGAAACAGCAAGGAGTGCCGTCATGCCGGCCAGCTGTGGGCCAGCAGCGCAGTGGCTCCGTGCTGTCCAGCCGCGCCTGAACCTGCTGGATTTCTGCCGCCCGCTGCCCCGCCTGCAGCGCCGCCCGCTGCGGTGTGGTGGCCAGCATCATCTGCTCGTCCGCCTCTCTCCTGTCGTCCCAAGCATCGTGCCTGCGCTGCTGCCGCTCGCTCCACCAGCCGCTGCTGCTCGAGGTGTTTGGCCCCGCCTCGGCATGGCGCCGGCTGCGCTGCCCGGGATGATTTATAGGAGGAGCCTGGCCTGGTCTTTTAGATGCCTGCCTGCGCGGCTGTTCATTGTCAAGGCGCCTCCCAGGGTTGGACTCATGCACGCTGATGTGCAGCTTGGGGGGAGTCATGAAGCATTTGGGCTACCCGGAGTCGATCACGACAAACGAGAGGGAAAATGGTGGAGGTTTGAGGGAGATGAAGCCTGAAATGCATGATGGGTGGGGGATGCATGACCCCCGCCAGGAGGGGACCGGTGATCGGGAGGCCTACCTGCATCACAGCACCATCATGGCATTCGCCCATCTGGCGATGTCTTCGCTCTGTCGCCTTGCAATTATCTTACTGGACGTGCTTTGACTCTGACCTAGCCCCTGCATCTCCCGGCGGACCTCCTGCTGCCTCTCCCCGCTAGAGAGATGGCAGCTGGAGCTCCCTCCGTGCTGCAATGGGCGTCTACATCGCCTCCAGGACCGAACCGGCTGCCGTCAGGCGTCCAGGTGCGCTACTGGCGGGATAGAAGACGGGGAGCGAGAGAATCCACATCGCCCGGCTTATCTTCGCCTGCCGCCTGCTGCAGACGAGGAGCCAAGCCGCCCGTCAAACGACGCCCATGCAAGACCCACTGCAGGCACAGGTGCGGCGAGGGATGGGGATGTGGGCACCGCAGACCAGACCTGGGCCTTGCAGGCGAGGGTTGTGCGCCCTTCTGCCGCCCCTGCCGATTTTTAGGCTTTTTGGGCGCACGCTGTGCAGCCCGACCCGGCCACCCCGCAGAACCAGACCATCCCGGCGCCCAGCGCGGCCGAGCCGCCTGGCGCGCCACGCAAAAAGATGCCCACCAGGCCACGGCGGCCACTGACGCTAGCCGCTGGGGCGCCGGTCAGGAAGCTAGAGTTTGACGATCCTCCGGTGGCTGTGCAGCAGCCAGGCAGCGGCAGCGGCGGCAGGAGCAAGCCGTCCAAGCTGCAGAAAATACGGTAGCAGCGGCTTCCGTGGGCGGGCCGCAGTCCTGCCCACACCATGGAGAGCAACCCGACCCCTCGAACAAACCACAGAATGTCGCCAGCATCCGGCGCTGCAGCAGCCTGATGAGCGCCCCGCCGAATGCAACACCTTACCGTGACCGCGCCGCCTCATTACCGGCGGCCCCGGGGTTGTGCATACTGCCCAGCTTCCCAGGGTGTTGACTCCACCATGCCGATATGACCCGCCCTTCTCCCATCCCCTATCCATTCCTTTCTTGGTCCAGTTTGCTTGCCACCCTACTCCTTGCGACTTCTCCCGTTGTGTGTATGTGTGTGTGTGTGCGCGTGCGTGTGTGTGTGTGTGTGTCCTCTCCTGCCTCCCCTGTCCTTGCCATGTCATCTGTGTTGTTTGTGTGTATGTCGGATGTGCGTGTACCGTGCCTGACTGTCGGTGCCCTGACCCGGCGCAGATACTTGCCCGCCCCTTTCATCGCTTCTGCTCTTTGCGCTCCTTCCCTGCCTTCACCGCTATTTTTGATGCCCAATCAAGCGCTGACTGTCTGTACCACATGTGCGGTTTTGAAGCGGCTCACCCATGCCTTTTTTCCAAGCGCCACGCGGTGCCTCCCGCGCGGTGGCTGGCTGCCGCCTGCCCGGCCCCGAGGCCCGGGGTGCCCCATCATCTAGCCTGTACAATATTGCCATCCCCCCATAATGTCATTGAATCAAGTAACCTTTTGAATGTAAAACAAAACCAGCCCCATCTGGCCCAAGAGCGGGAAGTGTCCGGCTTGCTGCGCGCGGTGTGCGGCCATGTGGCATGGCTGAGCCGCATACTCGCGCCTCCCCAATCGTTTTCCTAGCACTTTTATTGTTTCAGGACTGGACTGAGCGCAGGTGAAACAGGGCTGTGCTCGCCACAGCCAGTGACGCCCTTGCCCCCTGTCCGCTCCCCGCGCGCCTACACCGGCAGATCTAGGGTGATCACGTTCAGCCGGCTGCGCCCCAAACCCTGTTGCAGCAGCGCCGAGCTCAAACACTCGAGCACCTTTGAGGGCCTTCGTGGAGCTCTGGGCGCTGCATGGTGCGAGTAACGCAAGCAGGGCACACGCCTGAGCATGAGGAGGAGCAGGTAGGCAGGGCGGCGGGTTGGGCCTCTCTGTGACCGGCGCTGATCGTCCCTCCGTAGCACTCTTGGCGGCCTCTGGGGGCTTGGCGGGGGCCACCCGGCCAGCGACGGGCGCGGAGTTGCCGGGTGCCCGCAGCCCTGGCGTCGGCGTGCGAGGCGGCGGCGCTCGCCCGCCTGCTTGTTTGTGGCTGGCGCCTGTTGCTCCTCACCCTCTGCCCCACCTGCTGGCATCTCCGTGCAGATCTGCCCCCTATGCATCAATGAGCTTGACGACACGGAGAAAGCATGGTTGCCTTGCAGCTGCGGGTGGGTGCACGCATGCCTCTGAAGCCGTTAGCAAGCACTGCTCGCCGACGTGCGCCACACGGCTCGTATCAGGCACCGCCTGCCGCCCCCGCCCTGCTGACCAGCCCCTGCCGTGCTGCCCCCCGCCTCCCTCTGCCCGCAGCTACCAGCTGTGCCTGTTCTGTTACGACCGCCTCAAAACCGAGTTCTCCAACCGCTGCCCAAACTGCCGGGTGGAGTACGACAGCGACTTCCAGGCAGGGCTGCGCAGGAGGCAGGAGCGCGTGGCGCAGCTGCAGCGCGAGGCCACCGCGCAAGCAGAGGCGGCCGCCCTGGCAGCCAAGGCCGCTCCCGCGGCGGCCGGGGAGCGGCCGGGTGGCAAGCACGTGCAGCCGCCGCCGCCGCCGCCGCCGCCGCCGCCGCGCGCGCAGCAGTCGCCGCGGCGCGACCTGCGCATCGGGCAGGAGCAGCTGTGGCCGTCCCTTGGAGCCGCGCCGCAGCAGCTGCCCCTCCACACGCAGCCACAACCCCAGCCGCACACGCCACCCGCCCAGCGGCAAGCGCCAGAGGCGTGCGCCCTCGGGCTGGGCTCCCCACCGCAGCTAGCCGCCCTGCTGCCGCAGCCGGCCTCCTCCTCCGCTGAGCAGGAGGCCAGCAGCAGCAGCAGCGCCGACACAGCGGCCACCACGCCGCAGTCGCCAGTCAGCAGCGTGGTGTGCTTCCGCGCGCTGCCGCCGCCGGGTTGCGCCGCCAGCAAGCCGGCGGCACCGCCCGCGGCGGCGGCGCCAGTGCAGGGGCGGTGCGCCGTGGTGCTGCAGCGCGGCGGCGGGCTGGGCGTGGATTCAGACCCCGAGGGTGCCAGCCTGGCCGCCAGTCTGCAGGATGCGGTGCGTGCCGGCAGCCTGAGCGTGAAGCAGGCGGCCGCCAGCCTGGCCTCCTACCTGCGCCAGAGCCAGCTGCTGCAGGCCGCGGCGCTGGGCGGCAGCGCCAGCTCCAGCCCCGCCCGCGGCAGCCACCAGCCCAGCAGCGCCGGCAGCACGGGGGCGGGCGGCCCGGGCATCACGCCGTTCACCCTGGGTGCATGCGCAGCCGACTGCGCCACAGGCCTGCTGGGCGGCGAGGCCAGCCTGATGCTGCCCAGCGACAGCGGGTTCAGCGCCACCACCAGCGCCAGCCTGTCGCACTGGGCGCCCAGCGCCGCCAGCAGCCTATGCATGCCGCCAGGCCTGTTTGGCGGCGGCACCGCTGCCGCCGCCGCCTGGCCGCCGCAGGCGCAGCCCAGCGCGGCGGCGGCCTCGCCGCTGGCGGCCTCCCCTGTGCGTGACAACGGCAAGATGCCGCTGTTCCTGCGCCGCGGCTCGATACCCGTGGCCCCGTCGCTGGGCAGCCCCAGCAGCGCGGGCGGGCCGTCCAGCCCCTCCAGCGCAGCCAGCTTCCCCGGCTTCCCCTCCGGCTCCAGCAGCCCCACCGCGGAGCTCAAGCGCATGATGGCGCCGCCCCCCGGCTTCGGTCCCACCCCGCTGGGCAGCACCGGCATCGCGACGCTACCACGCTTCCGCTGACGCTCGGCGGCGCAGGCCGGCGCGCTGGCTAGGCTCGGCGGCCGCACGTGGGTTCCCGTATACCTGCTGCGCCCGCCGGCTGCACGTGCCACCCCTAGGTACTGTCCACACCACCACAGGGCCCTGGCTCCCCAGGCAGCTCACATCCGTGTAAGGCAGTCTACTCGCTGGGCGTGGGTGGTACAGGAGGGGCAGTACAGGTTGGGCCAGGCCAGGCAGGAATGGGAGAAGAAGAATAATGGTGGTAACGAGTTACGAGACGGGCACTTGGCCCCTCAGAGCCCATCACTGGATGGACATCCGCGGCTGGCTGCTGGCAAAGCCAAACTGCTGGTGCTGCCTGCTGGTCCGATCCCCTGCCCCCTGCCTCGGCTCCCCATTGCTCATGCTCACCCGCAGGCTGCCCCGCCTCGCTGCTCCGCTGCCCGTGCTGCCGCCTCCCAGGTGGCTCTGGCTGGCCCCGTGCTGCTGCAATTAATGAAGGTGACATTGTAAAACGTACAGGGACTATTGTAGATGTTCCGGTAGGGAAAGGCACTTTAGGTCGAGTAGTTGATGCTTTAGGAAATCCTATTGACGGTAAAGGTCCTTTAAAGGATGTAGCGTATCATGAATTGTTGTCCTGTGGCTCACCCGCCTTGCCCCAGGCCCGCCGCCAGAGTTGCCGACAGTGCTAGCACTGCCATCGCTGCAGTGCCCCTGGCCCTGTCCCTGACCCTGCTGCAACGGTGTGCTGCCGGCGCTGCTGCTGTTCCCAAGCTGCTGTCCTGCTTCCCTGCTGGGGCTGCGGCCGCCTTTGTCGGTGCCTGCTGGGCTTTTGCCAGGCGCCGGCTTTGGCCCGGCAGCTGCCGCCCGCGCAGGCAGCGCTGCCAGGCTGCCCTGCCTGCTGCGCTGGCGGGCCGCTGCCTCTGGTGCAGTGTTGGCGGCCCGTGTCCTGGAGGGGGTGGGAGAGCTGCGCCCTGCAGGGAGACGCAGCTGCGGCGGCTTGGCTCTGGCAGCCGCCGCCTGGCTGCCCCTATGCTGCCGCCCAGCAGCAAGGCGCTGCCTGGACGGCGCGCGATCGGCACGGGAGGGGCTGCGGCTCGCGGCTGCCACAAGCGCACGCCTCTGCGCTTCCAGCACCGTTGCGGCCCGCCGCGCTTGCATGCCCCGAAACGCCGCCTGGATGCGGGTGGCTGCCTGCTGCCGCGCCTCCAGCTGGCGCCGCGCCCTGAACCCCCGGAAGGCTGCCTGCACCCGGCGCGCCGCCTCTGCCCGCTGCCGCCACAGCGCCGCCAGCTGCCGCTCCAGCTCCCCGCCGGCCAACCGAGCAGCCGCCTCTGCAATCTCTGCCCGTGTGGCCTGCGGCTGGGCATACACGCAGCACAGCATCAGCTGCACCCGCTCCTCTGCCTCGGGTGGAGGCGCCGCTTCCACTTGTGGCGACCGTGGCGGTGGCGGGGCCGTGGCCGCCGCCACTGCGGCCTCCAGTGGCTCCAGCCGCTTGTACAGCTGGTTGAGGTGCAGCTGGTTGAAGCGGGCCTGTTTCTGCTTCTCCGCCATTTCATCCTGCAAGCAGGCCGTGTGGCAGGCCCTCGTGAGGAAAGCAGCCAGGCGTCCCGCAGGCCCAGCCTCTGCTGTGGCCTGTGCCTTGACCCCGGGCCCAGCAGCCCTTGCCCTGCACCCACCTGCAGCTGCTTGAGCTGCCGCTTCAGCTCCGCCTGCTGCCGCCGCTCCGCCGCCACGTCATTTGCGAGCCGCCGCTCGCTGGCCTGCTTGGCGCGCTCCAGAATGGCGGCGCGCTGCTCCAGCTGCTGGATGGTGCCATCCCTGCATGCAGGCAGGGCGTGAAGGCACGTGGCGAAATCAATAGCAGGCCCTGAAAGCTTCTGCCAACTGCTGTGGCAGCGCAGGCCCCTGTGCCTGCTGGTCTCCTTCCACTCTCTCGTTTACTGCACCTGTCCTGCAGCATCTGCCTGAACTGCTGCTCCTGCAGCAGCTGGTCGGGCGCCACGCTGCACTGCTGCAGCCGCTCCGTCTGCCGCTGCAGCTCATCGCGCAGCGCCACCAGCTGGCGCTCCTTGGCGCTGAGCAGGCCCTCCTGCTCCCCCACGCGCTGCCGGTACCTCCTCAGCTCCTCTTGCAGCATCTGCAGGGAGCCAACCAGCCAGCCTCGTATGCACGCTGTCACACATCTGCCAAGGCACGTGATGAAAGGCACCAGACAGCAGGCACTACCCATTCTGACAGCAGGCATCTGACGGCAGGCACACCTTGTTGTCCTCCACAATGGGCCGCACCGCCTCTGGCAGGTCCCGGCTGCGCAGCGTCCACTGGAAGTCGTTTGTGAAGACGCGGTCTGGTGGGAAGGGGGCCTTGCTGCTGCCGGACAGCGGGGAGCGGGCCACGCCGAGGGTCCCCTCGCTGGCCTCCCCCAGCAGCGCCGACGCATCCTGCAGGGCGTGGAGGGGAGCGCTGGTGGGCTTTCGCCACCGTCCCAGCATCATCCAGGTGCCTGGGACAAACGCAGTCAGCCCAGTAACAACAGGGTCACCTTGCTGCCGCGGCCTGCCAGCCCCGGACCCTGGCTCAGCCTGGGCAGTGCCGCACTGCCACGCCGAGACAGCGGGGGCAGCGTCGCTTCGCCGCCGCCTCCGCCGTCGCCGCCGCCGGCGCGCCACTTCATGGGATGCGCTTGACGGCGACCCAATTGCCTGCTGACCTCTGTGCGTCCGCGCGACTACAAAGCTGCGCGCTATACGTCGAGCCTCGCGTCCAAGGCGCGCCGCTTGCAAGGGGCTGTCCTCTTTGCCCGCTAGAGGGGCTGCCGGCTGCTTGTCGGCAGCAACGGGCTACGAAAGCTGCAGTCGCCGGGCCATGCCTAATAAATGCCGCCCCGTGCTGACCGTTTCTCTTTTTGCTGTGCTCTGCCCCAGGAGAGAAAAGAATGGTGCTTACATGAAAATATGGGTCAACACACACAGCAGCCACCTGCTGCTGGCGGTATTGCTGTGTGTCCCGCCCGCTGCGCAGCCGCTCGGGCCAACCGACTTCACCTCCAGCTCAACACAACAACTCCAAACAGGGCTGCGGCCAGGCTCAGGCATGCTGCCACAAACACGCCAAACACGGAATTCTTGGACTTGAGGCCCAGCACTCGCTGCAGCACGCCCATCAGGCGGTCCACCAGCGGCGCCAGCGCCAGCGCCAGCGCGGCTCGCGGCGCTTTCGTCACCTGGGAACCTGCCCACACGCCGGCCATCACCGCGGCAAAGGCCTTGGCGCTGGCAGCCAAGCCCTGCCCCGCCGGCACCTTGGCAACATAGATCCAGAAGAAGAGGAAGGCGCAGATGTCTGCAGCAAACAGCGGCAAGATGGCGCTTCGTCATGCCCGTCCGCAGCTAGATTCAAACAGCATTCCAGCAGCAGTGCCACAGCAACGCTCACAGTAGAGTGTGTTGAAGATGCCTGCAGCAGGAAAGCAGCCAGCGGGTGGGTGGACGACACACAGGCACATGCCCTATCGATGGCCCGCACTAGGCAGGCAGCGGTGCCCAATGAGTGAATGAGACAAGATAAAAAAAGTCAAAAAAAACGCTCAGCGCACCATAGGCCGCCACCCCCGCCAGGCCCAACGACTGCAGCTGCCGCTGCATCCTGGCCACGTTCCAGATGCCGCGACCAGGGCCGGCGGAACGAGCGGGCTGAAAGCCGGCCGTGCCAGTGCGGCCCCCGCTGCCGGATGTGAAGTCAGCCGTGCCGCTGCTGCCCTGCATAGTGTTCGTGGCAACAGATCCGGTTGTCAGCGTGCTGAGTGCATCGCAGTCAGGCGGGCCTGGCTGGCAGGATGGACACACCTGCGCTACGACGGCGAGCGAGGCGGGCAAGCGGTGGCACCGCCGCCGGCGCACTGCTCCGGGCGCTGGTGCTGCATGGATCGCAGCATCGCCGCGTCTGCCCAGCTCTCTTACACCAACACGCAGGGGCGCCTGACCGGGCCGACAGGGCAGGCACAGCGAGAGTGCAGCCGCCATGGTGGAGCAACAACAGGGGTGGGAGCCTGGTTCGATTCTGCAACCAACAGCGATAGAGTATGTGCACAAACCCTGCCAGCAGAAACTTTGGATGAGTGCTGATCTGGCCAGTGCTCCATGTCAGCAGCGAAATTTGGTGCTGTCGAGGCCAATTCCGAGGTCACCTCGGCCTTGAAACCCAGTGCTGCAGCAAGCCGGGCAGTCATCGCCTGTTCGTTGGTGCGAGCAATGGTTGACCAGGCTCCCGGCACCCCGCGTGGCCTGCCGGCCTCCACAAAGGTGCCATGGGGATCCTCACAGGAGCCGCCATCGAAACATCACTTGTGCGGAATCCCACCAGGTCCAGGCCACTGCCACGCCACCTGCCACCGCTGCCCCCTTCTCTCCCCGATCCGGTTCTGCAGGTGCCCCTGGAGCGCATAAACCCGCTGCTGAGCTGCAACATCAGATCCTGGCTGCAAAACCATGGCAAGGTGCCACCCGCTGCAGCTGCCCGCTCCTGCCGCCTGGCGGCCGGCATCCGCTCGCCGACACCCCTCGCCGCCGACTAACCGCCGCGTCCGTGCGCCCCTACTGCTGCAGACGGTCAAGCCCAAGCTGACCGAGGAGCAGAAGGCCAACCTGCGCACCTGCTTCCGCATGATGGATGCCGATGGCAGCGGCGCCATTGACGCCGAGGAGCTGGGCGCCGCCTTCAAGCTGCTGGGGCTCAGCGTGAGCCGCAAGGAGGTGGAGGCGATGCTGGCAGAAGTGGACCGCGACGGCTCAGGCGAGGCTGCTGCGCATGCGTGTTGCGCGTTGGGCACCGCAGGAACGCCGGTGGCTGGGCGCCAATGCCTGCATGCGCCACCGCCCTCCTGAGCGCGCCAGTGTCCGCGTCAGCCCGCGATCAAACCACACCGCACCTGCTGGCTGTGCGCGCCTGCGCTGGCGCAGGCGAGGTGGAGTATGCCGAGTTTCTGGAGATCATGACGATGCAGCTGACGCGGCTGGCGGCGCAGAAGGAGGAGGAGGAGACTGCGGCAGCGGCTGCCGCGGCTGGGCGGCGGTCCGCGGCACCGCAGGGCAACGGGCCGAATGTGCTGGGCGATGGCGGCGAGGAGGGCGGGGGAGATGTGGAGGCGTTGGGCGGCGCGGCGGCGGCGGCGGCGGCTGCGTCGCTGCCCTTTGATGTGGTGGTGACAGCATACCGACGCAAAAAGCTGATGGGGGCTTTGGAGGAGGATGACAAGTGAGGCGCCGCCCTGCTGCTGCTGCGTGTTGGGGTGCAGCAGCAGACCAAACACACAGGCGGCTGTGAAGGAAGCCTTGGCAGGAGAGGCGGCTGCGCCTGTGCCGCTGTGGTGCGCTGCAGGGACTTCATCCTGTCGGTGGCGGCGGCAGAGGAGGAGGAGCGGCGGCGGGTGGAGCAGGAGGCGGCGCAGGGCGGGCACCGCTCCCGCCGGGGGTCCATGCTGACGCCCGTGCCGCAGGGCCCCGATGCTGCCAGGCTGCCCAGCCACGCCAGCTTCCTTGCCAGCCTGAGCCGGGAGGAGCGCGGTGTCATTGGTGAGCCCCCAGCAGCACACCTGCATGCAACCCGCTTGTGAGCACAGCACAGCTGGTCTGGCTGGCGCGGGCATGAGCCCTGGCCCTCCATTGGAACCTGGCTCTTCACCTGCTGCTTGGATTCCCCACCCTGGCCGCCGCCTCCTGCAGAGGCCCTCAGCAAGAAGTACCGGGATGAGTTCGGGGAGGCTGCCGCTGCCGGGCAGCCGCGACAGCCTCAGCAGCGCCAGTCCTCGCAGCCGCGGCGGGAAGCGCCGCCAGACCCCGCGCACCTGGCGGCCCTGCACGCCACCAGCCGAGGAGCAGCGTTGCCGCTGGGGCAGCAGACAGCCGCGGCAGCAGCGCTGGGCCCAGGCCAGGCCTGCCGCACCTCCAGCGCTGCGATGCACCGGCCTGGATCCATGCCCCGCCCTGCCTCCTCCATGCTGACTGCGCAAACTGACTTCAGGGTGCAGTACCGACTGACCAAGTCGGCAACGCCGGCAGGAGCAGGCGCGCCCGCCTCGCAAGAGGCAGCAGCGGCAGCGGCAGGTGGCGGGACAGAGGGGCTGCGGCTGCCGGTACCTCAGTACAGCAGCAGCATGTTTGCCAATGGATGATCGCTAAGGGGGTTACAAGTTGGCGCTACATCATGTATTGGCTACTGGTAATCACGGGCGACAGCAAAATTGACTTGAAAATTGGTGGCTCTACTGATACAAAGCAAGTCTGGTTGGTGCTTACTGTGACGCACACGGTGCCGATGGCAGGCGCTAGTAGTCAAAAATATGGACGCGGCGCATGGCCACTGCACTGCAACGAAATCGCTAAAGAATCCGGGATGGTGGCGGAAGGAGATAGGGGGCATCTCTAAAGGGATATGGGGGCGTCTGTTAACATAGCTAGCAAAATTGTGCCGGCCGTTGCAAGCCAGCGTCAGGTTGCTCACCCTCAAAAGTCGGCTGAAGCGCCAGCTCTGTCATCCAGAACGCCGCAGCCCTGCCCAGGGCTGCAGCGCGCTCAGGAGTCGAAGCCGGCTGCCGCTAAATACTCGCTGCACGCACCAGCGGGAGGGCAGCGGGCAGCACAGCGGCACTGCTGTGAGGAGGGAGCAGGGTACCCGAAAGCAGGGGCTGAAAACAAGGAGGTCCCCCGATACAGATGTCGGCTGGTCCAAGCAGCGCAGGCACAGCATGCGCAGCAGCAGATGAATGCATGCACGGCATCAAATGCCGGCCGTGGCCCACCTGTAAGGATCCACGCTGGTGGTGCTGCAGAGCAGGCAGGGCAGGCAGGCATGGGTGGGCATTCTGTTCATTCCAGCTCAACTCCCGGGCGCCACAATCAGGCCACCACCGTGCCCACGCAGCACCAGCCCCCAGCCAGCTCCCCACCTGAGGCCGATGGGCGAGCGCAGGATGTGGTCTGGGATGGCAAATGCGTCCACCAGCGGCACCGCCACGCCCCGCACCTCGCCGCACAGCGCCTCGATCAGGCGGTAGATGGCCTTGGCCTGCGGTGGGGCGCAGCAAAGCGGCAGGAAGGGGCGCGCCGGCGTGAGGCACACCCGCGGACCCCTCGCCTGCGCATGTGCCGGACACGTGACGTGCCCCTCGCCTCTCGCACGCTCCGCCCCCACATTCGCACGCCACCACGACCACGACCAACACACACACACGCACACACACCACACACACACACACACACACACACAGCACCACACACACAGCACCGCACACACAAACACACCACACACGCACAGCACAACACACACAGACACACACACAGCACACACACACGCACACACACCTTCTCCGGCGCGATGTAGTCGTCGTTGCGGAAGGTGATGTCGGTGTAGATGCGGTCCAGGGCAAACAGGTCGGCCAGGGCCTTGAGGCTGCACGCACGCGCGCGCGCACAGGGGCCGGAGGTGGTGGGGTGGGGTGTCGGGAGCGGCGGCGGCGGCGGCGGCGGCATGGGGTGGGCGAGGGATGCGCCCGTGGCGCTGGGGGGCATCCGTGCACCCGAGCAGCCCACCTGCGGCGGCAGTCTGGGTCCACGCACGCGTTCACCGCCGCCAGCATCTCCACAAGCATCACGCTCTCAATGTGTGCCCGGGACAGCGCCTGCGGGGCGGGGCCAAGGGGGCAGCACCGGTGGAGTGGCGGCATTGGCGTGCTGCCGACTCCAAACCATGCCGGCTGACTCCTGGCCATGCGGACTGGCATTCCATGGGATTGCCTGCTGCCTTCTGACCACGCACACAAACACACCCCAACATCGCACGCACCCTCCCACCACACCATGTACATACACGCGCGCCGCCCGCTTGCCCCCACACCCACCAGCACGTGCAGAAGGCACTTGTTCCAGGCGGTGAACTCGCCCACGCGCCGGCTGTGCTTGCGCAGGCGTGCCGCCAGCGTGTGCAGCAGCCGCGCGGAGCGGTAGCGCAGCGCGCGCACCAGGAAGGCCGGGTCGCGCAGGTGGGACACGTCTGCGAGGTGAGGAGCAGGGGGGGGTGAGGAGCAGGGTGGTGCGGGGCGGGTTGCGGCAGTCAGGGCCGGGCCAGGCAGGGGTGTGTATGGGGTGCGCGACGCGGGCGCGCCGGCTGCAGAGTCCTGGGGTGCAGGCAAGGTGCCGGGGGTGGGAGCAGCGGCGGCGGCAGGTCCGGCCAGCTGTCGCCGGCGGCTCACCCGTCTCGTGCGTGACCAGCGGGTTGGCCGGCAGGCTGTCCTGGGCCCAGACCTTGAGGTAGCTCCAGGTGGCGGCCAGCGGGGAGCCGCGGAACGAGTCGCGATACTCCTTGAGCAGCAGGGCGGCCACCTGTGGGTGCGTGGGAGGGTGTGCATGTGGGTGTGTGTGGGGAAAAGGGGGCTTGAGGGCGGGGGGCTGGCGCAGGCGTGTTCAAAGAGGACGGTGGCAGGGGCAGGGCGCCCGGGGCGACACTGGCGTCATGGGTACGGCGAGGCGGGCAGCTACCTGCTGCAGCAGCACCGTGTTGTCGCCCTCAAACGTCTGGAAGATGTCTGCAGAAGAAGTGCAGAGGGAGGAGGCGGCGGGGCGCTGCTCTGAACGAAGGCCGATGCAAGCGCAAAGGTGCCGGCCAGCAAAAGTGGCGGCAGGCACAGCGGAATAGCTCGAGAGGGCAGCCGGGCATGCAATATGGCCCTGTGGCTGTCTCGCCCAGCCCCACTCGCCGTGGTCGGAGCGCAGCGCCCCAAGCCTGTTGACCGCCGCATACCCGTGCCCGCCGCAGCACTCCCGGCAGATGCTGCGGGGGGGCAGGGCGGGAGCGCGAAGCGTGGGCGGCACAGAGACCCCAATCGGCAGGCCAGTGGGACGACGTGGCAGGCTGGAGGTGCAGCAAGGGAGCCAACCAACGGCCCCTCCCCATCCAGCCAGGCCCGCCATGTCACCCACCCGATGGCCGTGTTGGTGTATGAGGTGGTGTAGGCCTTGAGCCCCGCCGACAGGGTGTGCACATCAGCCACCAGCACCTCGTCCTTGGTCCTCTTCATCTCGCAGTACCTGCAGGCACACGCGGCGCCAGAGGTTGGGGCTTGCGCTGCCGGTGCCCTCGGCCACCATGTCCGCCGCTGCTTCGGCGGCCTGCCTGCCGCGCCCCGCCGGCATCAGCGTGGCCCCCAGGCGCCGCCCCGGCGGTCTTCCCTCCCTCCCACCAGCCCGCTGCCACCACACCACCCCCTCACTTCTCCACGAGCTTGTTCTTGGCAAAGTAGAGAGCGTAGCAGGTGGCCAGCATGGGCATCAGCTTCATCTGCAGGCAAGACGCCCAAGGCATATGCGCAAATTTGTGGGGCAGGCAGGGACGACTGGCTCGATGCGCGGGCACAGTGCCGCAGGTCTTGACCCCAAGGGATGCCGCCGCCAAGGGGCGGCAGCCAGCCAGCCACCAGCCTCGCCCGCAGCCATGCGGCCCCTGCCCTCCCGGGGCGCGCACCTGCTGGCTGGGGTAGTCCAGAACCGCCACCTCGGGCGCGTCGGGCGGCCCAAACTGCTGCCGCTGCGCGCTGTACCTCACGGCGATCGTCAGCGCGCCCTTCAGCACCCCCACTGCACCCGGGCGCGTGCCAGGCAACAGGTGGGCAGCCCGTCAGCCCTCCCTTGCCTCGCCTCCTGCGCACGCCTGGCCGTGCGCATGGGGCAGGCTGGCGCGACCCCCCTCCTCCTGACCCCTGACCCCAGCTCACCAGAGGCGCAGGTGAGGCCCACGCGGCCCCCCGTCAGCTCTCCCAGCGTGGCCGCAAAGCGCTTGGTGGCGGAGGTCATGGGGCTGCTGTACCGCCCGCTGCGGTCCACTGCACGGCGGCACGGCAGCAGGGCAGGGGCAGCGGGGGCCAGCGCTCAGCCTGGGAGAAGAGCTGGGGCTGGAGCTGGAGCGGAGCTAGTATGCCAGCGTGTGAGGCACGAGGCACGAGAGCTAAGGAGCGCCCTCGGGGCGCCAGTCGGCCCTGAGCCGGCGGCCGCGTGCCATGGCGACGGCCCACCTGTGGCGAAGCGGTCGAGCAGGTTCTCGCGCGGCACCCGCACGCTGGTGAAGCGGATGGCTCCGTTGTCGATGCCGTTGAGGCCCACCTGCGGCGGCGGGGAGGGAGGGGCAGGGCGCTGTTAGCGCAGGAGCTCCCGCGCGGGGCCGCACACCTCCATGCCCTCCCGTGGCCCGCCCACCCACCCCGCGGCCATCCCTCCATCCCTCCCCCCACTGCTCTCCAACCCACCCACCCACAAACCTCGCCCTCAACACCCACCTTGTACCCGCAGTCGTGAATCTCCACCCCTGGCCACAGCGCGCCGCCGTCGTCGCGCAGCGGCACGATGAAGGCGTGCACGCCGTGGTCGTCCAGGGCGCCTGAGCCGTCGGGGGAGGGCACCTGCAGAGGGATTCGGGCGGCCGGGCACGGCGCGCAGCGCCGCGTTGGCCAGCAGGTGGTGGCGCAGGGCAGGGCCTACCCGCCGATGCCCAGCAGGCCAGCGCGCCTGCCGGGGGCAGGCACCCCGTGCCCCCCTTGCCTTGAGGCGGGCAAACACGGTGGCCATCTTGCCGTCCTCGGCGGCGTTGCCGATCCACCACCTGCGGAGATGGATGCAGGCAAGGCTGGTCAAACTGCTGTGTGCGCGTTAAAGGCCAAGGAGTGTGCGGCACACTGAATGCGACAACGCGGTGGGCGTGTGCCTGCTTCGCAGACAGTTGCCCGGCGCCAAACTGACTTGATGGCGCCGTCGTCGGGCGTCTGCGGCATTGGGTGGGGCAGGGCAAAGCACGCTCAGCATGGGCTCCCTATCTTCTGGACCTGACTTGTGACCCCCGCCGAGCCGAGCCCCTCCCTGACCCCCAAGCGCTCACGTTGACGATCCACTCGTCTGTGTGCACATCCAGGATGGCCTCCGTCTGCAGCCCCGCCACGTTGCTGCCGTGCTTGAGCTCAGTCATGGCAAAGCAGCCTGCGGGGCGGGGTGGGGAGCACGGGGGAGGCGGGGGGGTTGGGGTGGCGGGCGGCGCGCCGGGTTCGGCACGGGCCGGGCGCAGGTTGCAGCCAACACACAGCTCCCTGCGCAGCCAGCAACAGAGACGCCCCTGCCACCGCGGCAGCCGCTCCGTGGCCGGTGCCGCCCCACTCGGCAGCGCCCCGCACCCGGCAGCCTGAAGCGGTCGATGTCATCAAAGTACTTGCGGCGGTGGCGCTCGGTGCCCAGGTTGATCACGCTGCCGCCCCACAGGCTGTACTGCACGCCCAGCTTCACGGTCTGCGCGGGGAGGGGCGCGGAGGTGAGGGAGAGGCCCAGCTCCGCCCGCATCAGCAGGGAGGCCGCCAAGCAGCAGGTGCAGCGCACGCCCCACAAGCAAAGCGTCGGCAGCACCCTCGCATCCCACATGCTGGCACCCTCCCTGGGCTGCCCCCACTCCGCCGCCCTCTCCCATGCCTCCCACTCCCATGCCGCCAGCTCGCCCACCCGCCCCCAGGCCACGCACCAGGCTGAGGTCCACCAGAGAGAGCAGCTCCGCTAGGTTGAAGTACTTGGCGTGGTCGCGGGCAAAGAAGGACATGGGGGAGAAGCCGGCGGCCAGGATGACGCGCAGGCACTTGCGCACCAGCTCGCGGTGCTCCTCTGCGCGGTGGCCGCCATGGAGGGCCCACGCAACCGGCCCGGGGCAGCACAGGGAGGGCGGTGGGAACGCTGCTCCATGTGGATGGCAGTCCCTGCCCGCATGGGCCCATGTCACGATCCTTGCCCGCTCGCGCCGAAACCTGCCGCCGGCTGCCCCCGCACCACACGCAGCAGCGCACCTTTGGTCATGCCCTCCTCCTCGGCCACCAGCAGCTCTGGGTGCTGGCGAAAGAGCTCATACACCTCCGCCTTGAGCGCCAGCTGGTTGTCCAGAAAGTGCTCCATCAGGGTGACGTCGAAGCGGGGCAGCTGCCTGCAGCCATTGGGTGGCTCATGCCCGTCAGCGTGCTGGAGGTGTGAGGGAGCTGGGGTGGAGCGGGCGGCGGCGAGGCTCGCCGAGGGCGGCGGCAGCCCGACCTGAGCGCGATGGCTGAGGTGGGCTGGGGCTGCAGGGCGCTGCTACTGGCCTCGCCGGCCGGGATGGTGGCCTGCAGCTGTCGCTGCAACACCGCCACTCTCTGCGCGCTCATCGTGTCTCGGAGGGATGTCGTAACTCGTCGCCACAAGCGCCAGCCGGGGTTCCAACAGAAGCAGATACACTGGCTCGCAAAGGAGCAAGCCGGGTTCAGCCAGATGAGCCGTGCACGCGCGTGCAAACAAAAACAGCAGCCTGTAGCTACGAGCTCGTTGCTACCCAGGGGCACAGATAGGCTGCAGAATGCAGAATGCACGCGTCAAGGCTGCAAAGAGGAACTGGGCATGCATGCCCTGTCCTGCGTTTGTCCCGCCCTTGCCGCCGCTGCCCGCCGTTTCTGCCGACCTCCCTCCCGACAGGCACGCCAACAAGCAGAAATGAGTCGTTACCCAAAACCATAATTTAGAGAGAATCCGCAAGCTTCTCAGGATTCTCAGTTGGTCAACAGCAGTGCAGAAAGGGAGCGAGGCAAGGTGCTGGCAAGTGCTGAAGCAAGGGACTGATTGATAGCCTGAATGGGGGAGGAAAAGAAGAGAGCTGCCAGGCGAGCATAAATCAATAGAAACGACATCAATAGAAAATACATGTGGCAGGCTGACACCTGCGAGGACGTCGCCGAGCAAGAGAGCTACGTGCCCCGCCAATGCAAGTTGCTTTCAAGGGACCGTCAGGTTAGCTCCGGGCGGTTGTGGAGAGCTTAGCTGCTGGCAGGGGAACCAGCCGAGGGCGCGTCCTGGTGCTGCTCCTGCTCGTGTGCCTGCAGCGATGGCGACTGCGAGGCAGGCGGCGGCGCTTGCTGAACAGCCGACTGCTGCTGCTCAGACTGCTGCTGCTCAAACTGCTGCTGCTCCGGCTGCTCCGGCTGCTGCTGCTGCTGCTGCTTGGCAGCCAGGCTTTGCTGGGTGGGAGTGGCTAGCAACAGGCCCAGAGGCATGGGCTGCAGCACTGGCAGCAGCACAGGGCCCTGCATCCCATGTGCCAGCTGCTGCTGATGCTGCTGTATCGCCAGCTGCTGTTGAAGCATGGCTTGCACCTGCGCAGCCGCCTGAGCCAGCGCCAGCGGCACCTGCGGTGTTCCAGGCGGCCCCATCAGCAGCTGTGGCCCCGGCTGCAGTGAACACTGCTGCTGGCGCAGCGCAGGGGGGCTGCCCGCCCCCTCTTGTGGCCCCAAAGTGCCGCCACCCCATCGCACGGGCGTCATGGACAGCCTGGCTGCGGCTGCCGCCGTCGCTGTAGGAGAGGTGGCAATGCTGGCATCATCGCGGCCCCTGCGCTGAGGCGTGCGCGAGGCAGGGTGGCCGTGCCGCTGCTGCGGCGCGTGCTGCTGCGGTGGGCCGCGCGCCTGCGCCACCGCGGCGGCGCTGACGACCAGGCGCGGCTTGCTGGCAGGCACCGGCTCATTCAGGGCATACACAATGGCAGCGGTGGGCAGGAACACAATGTCTGGCAGCACATAAGCCTGCAGGCACCGCAAGGGCAGCAGCAGAAAGATAAGAGGCACTTGAGCAAACACATGGGTCCTGAGCAGGATTGCCACAAGCAAGCGGTTGTGAACTGAGAGCTTGGTGAGTGGGGCAGCAGGGTAGCAGGAGGGGAGCGCGGCATCAAGAGTCAAAACCATCAGGCGCTGGCTGCCGACGCAAGACCCACCCGGGCCTTGGGATGTTGGAGGGCATCCAGGGCTAGCGCCAGGTTGGGGTGGGGCCCGCTCTCCACCGTCACAAAGCAGCCGCCCGCCGCCTCGGAGCCAGTAGTGATTGTGGAGACCGCCGGCGGAGCATCCACTCGCACAATGTAGTACTGCGGCAGGGTGCACCATTAAAGCAACGGATCTGACCATCATACCTGGCCAAAGTAGAGCTGCAATGTATGCGCTTTCTATGATTGGCTGGGAGGGAGGCAAAAGGCGAAAGCGGCGGCCGCCGCCGGCCCCCGCGGGGGGGTGGGCAGGCGGGGCCCACGCCTGGCTCCACCCAGCTGACTTGTTCCTCCCCCCCCCGCCGGTCTGGTCATCCCTGCACTCCTACCTGCTGCAATGCCACGCTGCTGGGGTCTAGAGAGTCGGCGTGTAGCATGCCATGTGAGTGCACAAGTGGCTGGAAGGGAAACCGAACGCTAGGATTGGGGCCCGTGATTGTTCACGCCGCTACAAACTCGTCACATGGGCTGCAAGCCGAAACAGCGTTTGCTCGCCAAGCTATCGCGCCTTTCCAGCGGGCCAGAACTCTGGCGAGGGCAGGCGGCTGAGAGCTTTAGAGGGGGACCCAGAGCTCCTGTTCGATCGCATGCAATCTAGAAGACATATGGAATGCCATCGCAAGGCCTGCGTCCTGCTGGCGCCGGCTGTTGCCTTGAAGGCCCCGCCCGCCTTGCGCCGCCGCTCGGGTCCGCCAGCTGCCGCCTCCAGTCTCAGGGTGCAGTGTGTGACATGCACATCAGTAGTTCGACAGGCAACGACACCGATTCCCATTTGCCCCTCAGTCGCTGCCAGCCCACGCCTGCTGCTCCAGCATGCCGTACAGGCGCCCCCATGGGTTGTCGACAGTGCGGCCCAGGGAGTCAGCTCCCGGCCAGGCGGTGTCCACAGCCCAGGGCTGGTCGCCTGCCGCGTAGCGCTGCGGCGGCAGGGTGTAGGGGATGGGCAGCGGCACGCGCAGCTCCTGGCCACGCGCTGCCGCCTCTGCATTCTGGCTGGCGCCGCGCTGCCAGTGCACAAAGCGCACGGTTGGCCCCGCCGCGGCCGCCCCTGCCGCTGCCGACGGCCCCGCCTGCTCTGCTGCGGCACCGCCGGGCGGCAGCGCGGCCACCTGCTGCTGCTGCCAGGGCTGGCTGGAGGTGCAGCTGAAGCCGCGCCAGCGTGAGGCACGGTAGGCTCCCTCCAAGCTGGGCACCAGCAGCACCCCCAGCTCATACGACCGCACCATCAGCTGGCTGCCCTGCTTCTGCAGCTGGCCCCAAGCTGCAGGTGAGGTGGACGACATAGGAGGGGGCAAGCACAACGACATAGAGTCGAGAGGATGGATGAAGGTAGGGAAGCACAGTCAGCTGGTGAGGAGTCAGCTGGTGAGTGCAGCTGTCAGGGTCTGTAGCGGCATCTCCGGGCACAGGCTCAACGCACGGGCAGCAAGGCACACCTGCTTTGGACAGGTTGTGTGAGCCGACATAGAGCCACGCCACGTCATCACCGCGGTACCGCAGGTACGACTTGATGTGAGGCATGGCGCGCTGCCGCCCGCACGCCTCGCCGCCCCACCTGGGGTCGGGCCAGGCAGGCAGGGGTTGAGGCGGATGGGAGGCTGAGAGAGCTGTCCCTCCCCATAATGCGAAACGAAAACACACACACACACACACACCTGCGGTAGTAGGCCTGCAGGAAGGGTCGGTCCACGTTCTTGGCGGGCCCCGGGATGCTCCTGCCAGCCATCCACCCCTCGATGCTGTTCTGCACCTCCGCCACAGTGGTCCACACCAGCTGGAGGCCCGCGGAGCCTTGGGCAGGCAGCCCCAGCTGGCCTGCAAGGATCGGCGCAGGAGGCAGCGGGCTCTGTTCAGGAAGCCAGGCCAGCATGCCCAGCAGCAGCAGCAGCGCAGCAGCAGCCCCATGGCGCCGCCGTGCTGCTACCAACCACCATGGCCCGGCGGCATGGCGGCGGCACGCACCACCGCCGTCTCCGCAGCGCCCCGCCGCCAGGCTGGCCCTGAGCTCTCCAGTCAGCCAGGCATCGTCCAGACTGCCCAGGCTGCTGTACTGAGCCGCCAGCGGGGCCTGCCGGAACGCTTCGGGGAAGGGCGGCTCCCGGTTGAGCAGCGCCCTCAGCCGCATGTGGCCCCACTTGTGCATCTCCCCAGTCCCCCTGTGGTAGCCAGGCACTGCAGGGAAAGGCAGCAGTCCAGCATGTTGGCTGTTGTTGCAAGGCGGGGTGTGCTGAGCCACCAAACTGCCACCCCGTCCCTGTCAGCGGTGCTGTGAGCCAAGCCAGCCCCCCGGCTGCGCCGCTGCTTACCTGATGCCACGATGTGCGCCCGCGCAGCACTCATGTCGTGACGCTCCAGCAGCCCCTGGCAGTGGGCAGCCACCGTGGGCGGCAGCTTGAGCTGCGTCAGGTATGCCCCCAGGTCTTGCTGGAAGGAGGAGGTCTGCAGGGGCGGCAGTGCCCGGGGGGAACGGCAGCGTAGAAGGGAAGGTGCCAGCAAGGGAGAGGGAGATGGGAGTGGTGTGACAAGAGGAGGACACCGAGGTGTTCTGATGCAACATGCCTCGCAAGCGCTGAAGCCACATACGTGGCAGGGCGAGGGCTGGGCGCTACCTGCGGCGACT